GTATGCTGTAGCATGAATAACTCCTTTCACTGGAGCCCAAGGGGTTTCCTTTCGAGAGGAACCAACCTGTTTCGGCATGACGATGCCCCTGTGAACAAAATGATGTCCGTGAAGACATGGTTTAGCAACACTGGAGTGGAAGAACTTGAGTGTCCTGCACAGAGCCATAACCTCAACCCCAGTGGAACGCACCCGAGCCTCCTCACCTGACATCAGTTCCTGACCTCACTAATGCGCTTGTTCATAAATAGGCGAATCCCCACAGCCATGCTCCAAAATCTAGTGGAAAGCCTTCGCAGAAGACTGGAGGTTCTTATAACAGCAAAGGAGGGGGACTTAAATCCGGAATGGGATGTTCAACTAGCACATATGGGTGTGACGGTCATCAGTTTGGCCAACTGATACAACTGATTTGAATGATGAATGACGATGAATTCCATGGTTATGGTTATTATACTGAATCATCATGATGCTTTTAAAAAAAAAAACATTTTGTATTGATCCATCTCTAATCACTAACGCGGTATGCTTCATGTATAGGCGCTATAAAAGGCCCAGACTTGGAGGGTAAACCCAGAGGAAGACCGTGACCACATGGACCTCACTGAGAGCCAACAGGGACACACTTGGAACAATGCAACAGCCTTACAGTTCTTAATGAGCATCCTCACATTCCGCATGATACCACTAATTTGAGAAATTTCCAGCACAAAGACATAATTAGACAAACTAATTAGACGCAGACTTTGTTGCACAGAGAGCCTCCGCAGTTCAAGCTATCCGCCTACCTGCCGTGTGCTAAAATAAGACAGAGCCATCAAGAACATGTGCGCTAATTCTCTTCGACAAGTGCACCTTGGCATACGTGGAGAGGCTATATTGTGTCAACGCATCTAGGGGACTAACCCCCTCCGTTCCCGATACAAAGACAGCGTCTATCTATCCATGTACACAAAACGCAAGGCATCAAGTGAATCGTGTTGTCATATGCCCATATGCAGCCCCAAAGAAGATGTGAAAATAGCCATTTCAATGGAAGGAATTAAATTGGAATCGATAGCTAAATACAAGTCAAGCATGGGCATTTAGGTCTCTGGAGGATTCATTATTCATTGCTAACAGCCCTGGAAAGGACAAAAAAATAAATGCCTCAGAACAAAAGGGGCGAACTGGAAAGCCAGACAATCCAGAGTCCAGGGAAAACTGCGGACACACGGGTGAAGAAAAAGTAATTGATTTTAAAAGTGACGGGGAAAGCCACCGTCTCCGGAGGGGGGCGGGGGATGGGATCGGTATGTCTGGATCTCATCAGCACGGAACTGGCAGGGGAACGCGGCTCTACGAAAATTACAATAAATCTTCGGCCGGTATTAAGCCGTCTCCTAACACAGACGGTACAGCCTGGAAAATGAAAAGGAAAAGAACTATAGAACGGACATGGATGAAACGAAATCGTTAGAGCTTCTCGTTTTGGCGCTTCAAAGTAAACGCTCCCAATGTATTTGCACGTGAGATCGATTTTAGAGCCAAATTCCTTAAAGTACTTCTTTCAGAATATATATATAACTCTGAAATCTATGACCTTTCTCATAATCATTTCCATAAATGCGTGTGATCAGGATGTGCTAGAGAAGCCACAAGGTCCGAACTACAGCCATCATTTCAACTACCGTATTTTGAGCGTCTGGTTAGATCGGCTGATCAGAGGAGAATGGCCAGACTGATTCAAGGAAGGAAGCTTATGGTAACTCAAATAATTACTCTTTACAACCGTGTTGGGCAGAAAAGCATCAGCTTCAGCTCTTGTCAACCAAGAACTCTAATCTGAGGCTCAGTGAAACTGGACACGTGACGATTGGATAAAGATCGGAATCTGCAATTGTCCAGATTCAGGGAGTCTGATGATTTATGTGAACTGAATACTGTTAATGATTCAATACTAATCATATTAAAACCAGCTCATTTGCAAGAGACATGTCCCGAACTACCAATGTGAGAATTCAATCCCACTAGGACATACACGACTCGTCAAATTGGAAGACGTCTGAGCCATAATTTCAATCATTCATGCTACTGTAAAGTCAAAAATACATTTATTTTCCTATACCCGTCTTACATTGCACAGCCAAATGCCACACCCACTAGCAATGAGCAACGTAGCACGAGCTAATTATTTCCCTCGCTGGCGCATGAATCATGTGGTCCAAATATGGAACTTTTCCGATCTATCAAAAAAAAAAAAAAAACATACCACGTTTAATCTATTTCTGAGCTGCAAACGATCAGGACAACGGGACTGCCTCTATTTTTGATAGCATCCATCCGTGACTGCTTCCAAAAACAATCTGCCCACCCAAAAGAGGTGGCCCTGTCGCTAATCGAGTCTCTGAGCTTGCCAGGTGCCAGTAGGAAACCCAGAATCCTGCCAAGCGAGGTTATCGGTCCACTGCAATAAACGGACTACATTCATTAACAGACCCTGGAGCTGAGGGGATCTTCCAAATCCCCGGAGCTCGATGTGTCTTCCCTCACTTTCATGTGCTAAAGATTAAAGCTAAAGGCCATCTCCCTGTGCTCACACACCCATTTTTACATCCTCTCCTGTCTCACGTCTCCCCCGTTCTTGCTTTACTGTAACTGCGCACCAGCTTTTCTGATCATGTTACTGAACGACAAGCAATTCATGTTTTTTAGGGAAGGTTTTTTTTTAAAATGTTGGGCTTTTTCTTTTCCCTCCCTGGGGGGAGGGAGGGGGGTGTGTTTGTTTCCCTTCCTTTTTTTTTTCTAAATAACAAAAAAAAAGAGGGAAAAAAGGGGAAGGGTGTTTTTTTTTTGGGGGGCGGGGTCGGTGTTTTTCTACTCAGCCTTGTCCCATATGTGGCACTCCTGAGTAAATGCCTGGAGCTGGTGAATACATGTCATCCCGAGGCTTGTCTTTTCGAAGGCAAGGACATGCATCGAGACAGGAGAGGGATATACAATCGTAACGGTACACGTCTCCGATGTATTTTCGTTCCTAGGAGCGAAATGGGCATCGTCTTGGTACAATCATTAATTTGTTTTGTTAATACACTGAAATATAGTGAAGAGGAGAAGAAGAAGAAGAAGAAGAAGAAGAAAAAAAAGCTAATAGAATGCAAAGTGACATACACTACATAACCAACTGGAATTTCACATCCCACAGACTGATCAAGGACCTACCCTGTGAGAGAAAGCTCCTTGAACCTGACAGGAAAATGAACTGTCCATGCCAAAGTATAACCTGATAAAACGCTCGAATGGAGTAATGAATGAGATGGGCTCAGAACGATGTTTTGAGTACTTTATGTGTCCTTTCCCCTGAGTAAAGGAAAGAAGGAATAGAAAAAGAAAGAAAGAAATAATCCGACGGTATAGGCCTCGACAGTGAAACCTTGACAGGTCACAATGTGGCGACACATACTGATTTCATCCATGCTTTGCCAGGCGGCTCGGGCTTTCTGGAAAAGACAGCGTGTCGACAAACAGGTGAAAGCTTTCCGAGCTTAATCTCGTTAATATCGTTAATCACGCGCTCCCTGTCCCCTTTTAAACACTCCAGCGAGAGACTTCAGGGTGATAAAAAGGCTCGGCGTTCGAGAATCGTGACTCATCCTCGTTCGTCAGCTAAATAAATTCATTTAGCGCGATTCCTCCCCCATGTTTGCAACTGCGACATACATTACCATCTGCGGCATGTGTCTGAGAAATGTCCGACCCCCGAATGATCGTTATTTTTTTAAAAGGCCGATAAAATCGACTCGAAACGGACTCGTTTGCATAATGCATAATGCTAGCTCTGCGGTTTTAATGAGACATGTGCAATGAAGTTGCAATTTTACGGGAATCGGGCCGACGTTCCTTAAAAAGACCATAACTTATGGAGATCGTAGCTTTTGAAAAATGAACTGACGTGTGTGACGTGCCGGAGAGAAGCTCTAAGCTATACACCATGAATAAATCATACTTTTATAATATATATATATATATATTAATTCATTTTACCTGGCTACAATGCGGCATGCCCACAATCTCTCTCTTTTACTCAAGGCCATACTGCAAAAACATCAGAGCTGAAAACACATGATGCAACAGAGCTCATACAGCTAAACACAACAGCCCGAGAACTCGATGTGAGATCAAGGCAGGATTTAATCACATTTATATTTCACTCAAACGCAATATATTGACGTATAATAATAAATAAATAGAGCCAAAGCCTTCATTTAAAAGGTTGTTGACTATGTAGTTAGAGCAGGAATTCAGGTAAGACTCACCCCACAGACAATCACTTCAGGACCAAGGCTGTACCACTGGATAGCTAACTAACGCTTCAAAAATGTGCCGTGACCTTAACATGATGAAACCAAATACAGTACAGTGCACATTACGCAGCACAGAATTGTTATAGAACTACTACTGGTCCAACACATGGGTGGCATGGCAGCTTCACAGCTCCAGGGTCCATGGTTCAATCCTAAAGGTTATGTGCTTTCACATGTTCTCCCTTTGGGTTTTCTCTGGGTTCGCTGGTTTCCTCCAACCTCACAAAAAGGCTCAATTATTTCTCTCTCCCTCTCTTTTTTTTTTTTTTTTTGCAATACTAGCCAAATTGAGAAACCAAACAACAAAGACTTGCTGTGAAATTTTGCCAAGGTGAAGCACAGAACGATGGGTCATACTTTTTATCCATCCATAATTATATATGATTGAAGTGGAACATGTGGCTAAAAAGAAGAACAAAAATGCAGCTCGTCACATAAACTGAGAACAGTAAGTGCAAATCCTCGGTCCTGACATCTTAAAGGAACTGATTTAGACGGAAAAATACCGACACTGCCTTTCATATATGTTAACGAGTCTTTATTGACCGTGAAATTCTTTTCTTCGCATTCCCCAGCATGTCAGGAAGCCGGGGTGAGGCATGATACAGCGCCCCCTGGAGCAGAGAGCGTTAAGGGCCTTGCTCAAGGGCCCAACAGTGGCAGCTTGCGGTGCTTGAACCCCCGACCTCCCGGTCAGTAACCCAGAGCCTTAACCGTCAAGCCATCATTGCCCCAGCCATATAACATCAGAGAGCGCTTAATCACTGTTGCCTATTCATGGATAGAACTCGAACGGTATGACTTTATTGTAATGATCAACTTCACCGTTGGAAACGACAGAAAAACCTCCAACCGAACGATTCGTTTATTATCTGTTCGACACTGAAATCATTTTGTGTTGAAACACAAACAGAATGCGAGTGCCTTGCAGGAGCTGAGCTGATTCATTAACATGGCAAATTCTGTTTCGTGCCATTATTGGCACAATCGTAACGCATAAATTCATTACGAATTGAAGTCACGGTGCTGTCTAAGCGAGGAGGATGTTAAAGCTTGGAGAAATTCTTTTTTTTAGTCCATCCTTTACGCAAACGTTTTCGAAATCGGCCCGTTTTAAACGCCAGCGTAATGCTTTCGGATGCTTCCGAAAGCTGTAGCCGTACAAAAGAAAGTCACGCTTTTGGCACGGAATGATTTTAGATCGGACTCGGTTCAGATTCTGAAGAACCTTAGAGTAGTGCGAAGGGAAGAAAACGAGCGGAGTGTAATGTGTTACATACGGTAAGCGTTAATAAACGCTGTATGCATGTCGAAATATCTCTCCAAGGACAGGGCAACGTGAGCGAAAACCCGAAAGCAAAACGAACCGGACGTGCCTGAACGAGACTTGGTGTGCCTAAGAGAGATTTCTTTTCGTAATTCCATGAAATATACGCCAGCAAACGTGTCGTCATGGCGTCTAAACAAATGAAATTCCCTCCTACTTCCTGCCTGCAGATTTCTGTCGAGTTGTAGGCATTCTGCGAGGACAAAACCACCTTTTCTATGAAAGAATGACAAGTGCAGGAAACATCCTGCGAAACAACGTCCCCTTGCCCCTTCTCTGGTCCCCTCTGTTCCAAAAAGCGGCCTCTTTGGCCCCCGTACCAAAGCCTGAAACAAGAGCTTGCAGCATGAAGGGCCCGGGCACACAATGGACCTTCTGTCATTCTCAAGTACTGGGCAGGTCCCAGTTTCTCTCTCTCACATCAGACCTGCCCATTGCTGATCCAGAGGGAATGAACCCCCCGATCCGAGTTGCACTCGCAATTCTTACAACGCCCAGTGAGTGGGACGTGCACTTACCACCTAGTCAAAGCCTGCTAACAAAGGCAGATTTCTCCCTTTTTGGAGGTTTGTCAGAAAGCGGAAATGAGAAAATAATTCTAAACCATCTTCAAACCTCCAGAACAAGACATTGTTCTCACCTGAACCCTAGCATACTGTGTGTACATAAAAAAGTGCATAAGCGTTCGCACACTTATCACTCGCAGTCGTAATCCATGCCTCTGCACCTGCAATCACCCGTAGCTGAGTCATTTCCCTGCTGACAACGCTGGAGAGTCACATGATGGGTACAATAATTTAATCAAGGAGCCCTTGACCGCAACGACTAAAGTAGAGTAATTTACATGCGGTGTAAAAACCGTGCACTACGCACTCGGAGATGGAAAAACGCCGGCGCGATACCTAAAAAGGCTCGAAAGTCACTCTGCCTAACTCGTCCCGCTTATCCGGGTGTAGACAAGTCATATTTATTTCACTGGAAAATAAAAGAAGCTTGCCAGAATGTAGCAATTCATGAACAGAGACATTCGGTGATATGTGGGGTATTTAATAAGAGAGCTGTTGAAGGATGTGAGGGGAAACGGCGGTGTTCGCACCGTGTGCCATGTGCACTCTGCCTGTCTGCCTGTCTGCAGCGTAAAAGGCCAAAAAGCTACATCTCAACTGAACGAACGTACGCTTACACTGCAGCAGCTGCTCGAATATTGACCAATACCAGACGTGCAAACTCAGTAACATCACTGTCATCGTGCTGTTTACTGACATTAAGCCCTGGTCAATCACGATCATGCCTAGCGTTCAATACGGTCCTGAACACCGAGGCGTCTCTATCTGTGTCTCAAATAATAATAACAATTTTAAAAAATCATCATTTTAAATTCTGCAGCGGTTTGATTTAAAGTGCGTTACAACGGGGCACAGGGGAAAAGTGCTGAACGTAAGCGAATATGGAAGCCAACGGGAGGAAGTCTGGAAGGCAGATTGCACGCGGATATGAAACGCAATCAAGGCATTGAGCAAATCTCCTCTGGATCTCACCTCTGTGTAATTACAGAGCGCTCTGGCAGCCCTTGTGGGTTGGGGGGTGGGAGGGAGTGTTTAGGGGAGAGTACGGATCTTATGTAGCTTGAGGGTGCAGTAGGGCTCTCGTTTGTAATAGTACATGTTACAGAGACCTCATCTACAATATAAGGAACGCCACTGTCAGCATTTCTACCAACATCCGTGACCCATTTAAAGCATTTTCCTGCTTGCCCATTTCTGACACAGCAGCCATCGAGAGGCTCCACATCCAACACAAGAGAGACGATCTAATCGAAGTACAAGGATGCGGTTTTGGACCAAGTGTGTGAGCCTATAGCTTGAGATGAGAGGACTCTCTAAATTTCTAGAGCAGCACTCGTATCTAGCGGAGCACAGCCTGGCCTCGGGTCTAGAGACGTTAGCTTGGAAAGGGTGAGTTTCTCGGACGACTAAAGCAGACTTTTTTCATCGTTTTCTTTGCTTTTCTTTCTAAATGACCGAACGGTCATGTCTCAGCTGTTCAGAGTCTGTAGCACTAGTAACTAATGAATAAATAAATAAATAAACGCTAACGTGAAATGCAACAACACACCGAACTACGATCGCTCCGAATTGTTGCACTTCGAAACGAAACCAATCCTTAACGCTTATTCATTATTAACGATTCATTTGGATGCAGCTGAAACTTGATGTAACTGGACCAGCACGAAAGTTGACTGTCCCTGTTACTTATGATAAACGACGACTGTATACATTTACGCTTATTACAGTATGCATTTATTACCCATTATGTGCATTAATCGTAAAAAATTTAAAATAAATAAATAAATACTACTAATAATAATAATTCAGGAAAGCTTGCCCATGTGGTCAGTACAAGCAGGTAAGTAGATAAGTGTGAGGGAGTCTTGATGTGCTGTGTAACCTTTTTTTGTCTGTAAAAAATAAAATAGAAGATTGAGTTCTAGACAGCTGGTGTCCCTCAGCCAACCCCTTTTTTATTCTTTGTCTTTTTTTCTCCTGAAATGGATGTAAAACAAACAAAAAAAAAAGATGAAAGAAAAAGCTTTCCTGCCTCACAAGTGCTGTAACAGAAAAACATCGGCCCTATAGTCTGAGGACGATGCCAAAGCGATCCGTGGCCTGGAGGCCAAGAGAGTAGTTCCTCTTGAGTGTGCTCAGCTGCCCTGTGACATAGCATGCACTGCAGTTTGGTGGCTGGCTACAGGTCATTTTCACCCTCCCCAGTAGGTCCACCATCCATCCATCCATCCATCCATCTTCTATACCGCGTATCCTACTGGGTCACGGAGAACCCGGAGACTATCCCAGGGAGCATCGGGTACAAGGCGGGGTACACCCTGGACGGGGCGCCAATCCATCACAGGGCACAATCACGTACACATTCATACACTACAGACACTCTGGACATGCCAAATCTGCCTACCGTGCATGACTTGCGCAAGAGGAAACCCCAGCAGTTCGTGGAGAACGTGCAAACACAGGACCATGTTGCGAATCGAACCCCCAACCCTGAAGGTGTGAGGCGAAGGTGCGAACCACTTAAAAGAGCTAGCTAGTGGGTGGGAATTGGAAAATGATTAAAAGTTGGAAGAAACTGGCTCGAACGATAAATAAATGCTGGGTGTGTTTTGTTTTTGGTTTTTTTTCCTCTCCAAACCTGCCTATTACCAAGTAGCTCGATAGACAAGACGCGAATTAAATTCACAGCTTAAAACGGTTCCTAATTACATTAACAACTTGAACCTATTCTTGAAATGTTGCTATGATACAAATGCGATGCTACTGCGTAAACAGACTACACTAATGTGAATCAAGGTCTTATTGTTCTGACGGGGAATAAGCGAGTCATCTCGTGTGGGATGAAAAATTGTTTGCTTTTCTTTAATCTGACTAATACGATTTACTTTTTTTTTTTCTTTTCTTTTCTTTTCTTCTCGCGAGTATGGCGCTCTATAAAGCAACGCCTTAGGCCAAGGTCTTTTTCAAACAACGTTCTGTAATGGCGAATATAGGCGCATGGTCCGTGAAGACAAGCACGCGGTGGAATAAGAAAGTGAGCTGTTCGGTTTAAAAATGGGGGGGGGGGGGCAAAACACGACGATAGAAAGTAGAATTGAAATAAGACATCCAGTACGAGGGAGCACAAGAGGCACAGCATGTCTTCAAGCAGACCCTAATTGGTATGGCAGGCATATATTCAATAGTTTAATAAAAGACACACAAACACTGCTAAAAGCTTACCCGCCAGGCAGGGTTCGTCCAATGTACGGTATGGCATGTTTAATCAATAGCAGCTGCAAATTTCAGTAGTAATCGATGTCCAAGACTGAACTGAAGCCCAAAAATGGTATCTGTATGATTAGTCAACAAATAGATGTGATAATAACACAAGTCCAGGATTTCACTAAAGCACATCACTTACTTGAAGAGTATTTTAGCAGACACCCTTATCCAGCGTGACTTATCTCATTTATACAACTGAGCAGTTGAGGGTTAAGGGCCTTGCAAAAGGGCCCAAGAGTGGTAGCTTGGCAGTGCTGGGGCTTGAACTCCTGATCTTCTGATCAGTAACCCAGAGCCTTTAACCACTGAGCCACCCCTGCCCACAAATGGACGTAATGGTGAATCAGTGAGAAGCGGTTGCTGGGTGCAACGCCAGCCTTATTCTCTATTTACATAAGTGTGTTTCTTTTCCACATTGTGCAGCTCAGCCTAGTTCCTGGCTCAACCACCATTCGATTTAGCCATCTGGTCAACCTCTGAATGAATTCATATTTCATAGCTACTGTCCAGATGACCATTCTTGCGATGACCACGGCGAAAACAAACAAGTGCGCATGAGTAAATACTGAGGAGGG